GCTTTGCAGTCACCCTTCTCCAGTTACAGCCCCCTCTTCACCATGGTTAACATCCCCACCTCTCTACTCAGACATCGCCCTACGTGGGCCAGGCATTTTCTTTGTGCTTTTCTCAGAGGCAGCGAGCCAGAGGATTTGGTTGTGTGGCTTGTGAGACAGCTTGTCCGTCGCTGTACCCCTCCCCTGGCAATAGAAAGGGTCACAAGGATGCTGTAGAAAAGCGTTCCCTGGTGTGACAGCACTTTTTAAATGATCCAGCACGAAACGAGGAGGTTATGGCGTGGTGTGATGTCCCGGCTCGACCTGCCTCCTCCGGCAGAGAGGAGCTCTTGTTTCCTGTGGGATGCGTTTCCGAGTGCGAGGTCCCGGCCGATCCCTGCCAGGCTGATGCTGAACACACATCTCTGTCTGGGGAGTGTCATGTCTGCTGGGTGAAATTTCACAGGGGCAGCCAGAGAAAGCCCTGCATCGGACGTGAGGTGGGTTTCAGAGGGCTAGTCACCTTGGAACATGGCTTCAATGCCAAAGCCACTTTATTTCAAGCTGGAAAACACCGAGAACAGGACAAACATATGGATATTGTGTCCATCTCCCCATAAGCTTAAGCTAAGCAGTGCTAGCAGTGTGCTCCAAGCCCGTCACTGAGAGGTGTCTATCCTGCTGTGCGGTACGCAGCTCCATCCGTGGATCAGGCAGTACAGGAAGGAGCCATCCCCCTTTCCAAACGTGGCTGGCACAAAAAACCAGCACATCAGCCCTGTGACGCTGCAAAGCCTCTTAGCAGTCCGTTGGCTTAGCCTGTACCCGTGAAGCAGGGATGGCAAAATGGGTGCTTGGCCTGCGAAGTCAGTCCCTCTCGTAAGGTGCTCTGAGAGCTTTAGAATGACCAGTCGCTAATTATCTGCTTTATCAGGACACGCTTCCTGTACGCAACGAGAACCCAGCCAGGCAGGGTGAACATTACTGCTTATTTTAACCTCAGGGTAACTTATTACTCAGTGTCATTCTAGTCGGCGTCCCCTTTTAATACTGATTATGCCAATAGCTTGAGCAAATAAGCTGGAAGTTCCTAAAGTTCATTCTTTAGGAACAGGTCGTTCACCTCATGCCGTAAACGGACCCACTGGCGTGGTTTTTTCAGGGCCTGGGATGAACCTCACCTGTTGGACCGGCCTCCACACATGACTCAGGAGCAGTGTGAATCACGGCTCGTAGCGTCCCGGGAGTCGGAGGTGAGGCAGCCTTGTCGCCCTCGCAAGGCGCTGACGGGTGCTCGGGGGAGACGTCTTTGGACGGCGGGGCTTAAGGAAGAAATGTAACTTCCTCTCTGCTGGGAACTGCGTGTTTCTGGTGAGTTAGCGGGGATTAACGGACATTCCTGGTGCTCTAGCTGGTGGGTTAATTTATAGCTATCTGGAAAGAAAGGCTCATTTATTTATTTCGGTTAGAAAGCTCGGTTCCTCAGAAATTTTAAGCAAAGGCTGCATGACTTGTTGAAGGAAAGACTGAACGGCAAGTGAGAAGCAAGCTGGGATAACTGCTGCATATAAACAGCCTGGAAAGCAGTCAAAAGAAAATACTTAATATAACTCAGATTTGCTCTTTGACTTTTGACTTTGCAAAGGTTGAAAAATATACAGACTGCCTTCTTGCTTTAGTATTTTAAATATTAAAGGTTTTTCTTGTGTTCTTTAATTGAGCTCTGTCCTTAATGCACCTTTACAAACCATCTGTATCTCCGTGGTGTGCCACTGTATATCCCCTATGAATCCCAACGAGAGGACATCCCGCTTTTATAATATATTTGGAACAACTGGCACCCTTTAACACGATCAGTTAAGATAAGATAACCACCAGAGAGAGTCTGAATGGCAAGAGGAGACCATTTCACAAAGACTGTGACATTAAAAGTGCATTGCCCCGTACTGCATAGCGAGTAGAGTGTCCAGAGGGACATTATCATCTCAACAGCCCCTCATCGGGTTATGCCAACCTTCGAGCACCCATCCCTCGGCTCTGCCTTGTGCCTGGGGCGGGTCTCATCTCCAAAGGCTTCCATCATGAGGAAGGATCTTACCGCTGAAGTGCCGGGATCAATAAGTAGAGCAAAAAGGAGCCACTTGCCCTTTTTCTGCACTTTGTTGAGATTTCATAGCATGCCATCGAAGTCCACAGGTCCTGGTCTTAAACGAGAGGATTTGGGGCAACATTGGCGAGTGACTCTTTGTTCCCGCAGGATGCTCAGCGTAGCAATTTTGCGGCTTTTGATGCGAAAATCCCATTTGCAAAAAGAAAGAAATTACCAAATTGTTCAGGTGTAAATATAAACTCAAAATAACGTGGGTAAATTGTTTCCTGGAGAGGTGCTGGCCTCTTTGTTCTTCCTCCCTCCCTCCATACAAGCGTTTTATGTATAGATACATATTTATATATACAAGGTGCCTGTCACCATATTGATAAACATTCTTTGGAACCCCTCCGAGGGCTTCCTCTCACTTGAGCTTCCCGTGTTGTACCCAAGCTGGGAAAAAACCTTGGGAGGGTCTTGGGTGTCTTCAGAGACCAAAGTCTCCAGCTTAGAGCTGTCTAGGGCCTGGACCTAAGGGCTCATCCCCATCCAACAGCAGCCAGGGGGTCTGCTGAGACGTGCAGGCAGCGGAGCTACCGGGAAGCCGTCACCCACACGCTCTCGGCTTGTTTGGTGGAGCTGGGATGCGGGCAGCGGGGCAGAGCAGCTGCCTGGGGGAAGCTGGAGGAGGTGACCAAAAATCTCTCTTTCAGGCTGGAAGATCCAACTCTCCAGGACATGTCCAGTCCAATTGTGGCACTCTCTGTTTCCTTACTGGGGAAACTGGTGGTGCAGGCAGCGCTGAGGCTCACCTCTGGGGTAGGTACAGTGGCCTGAGAACACTTTGTTCTGTAGCTTTGATGAATGAAACTTCCAAACTCGTTTGGTCAGTTTGGTGTTGATGTAAAAGATCTTTAAAATAACAGGAGTCTCCCTTAAAAGCTTTCACCTGATTTCCTGTTAACGTGAGGTAAATAAATATCCATTCTGCTACTGTGTTGTACCTGAGAAGTTCCAGCCTGCGGTGTGCGGGGGAGAAGATTGGGAGGTGCTAAAGACTTTATGAAGTAGCAAAGCACTTTGAGAAGGTTTCTAACATCGCTGCTGTGCGTGGCAGCTGTAGTGCGGACGCCAAGAGCTGGTCCACAAGTTATGAAACACCTTAGGAGAAAATCAGCAACAGGCAAGTCAAATATTCCTGTTGGAGCAAGGACGGAAGCCTTGCACAGCATGATTTAACACCTTCAAGTGGTGCTTCTTGTTAGGGGTGTAGCAGGCTTGTAACTTGATTTCGTTGGCACCGAGACTTTATTTCCTCTTTTCTGAGGAGCGATCCATGTGAATAAGCTAAAGGTTATCCGGGCGGTAAGGTAATTGGCATACCTGACTGCAGGGAGCAGCTTTACCCCTATTTTCTGAAATCCAGAGTCAGAGGACCATGTGTTTGAGAGTCCCGTCCTCAAAGGATTGCAAGCAGGTGGTTTTCTGGCAGGAGGGAGCAAGCCTGCATGCCTGGTTGGCTATAAAATGTGAACTTTGAATTGTGAAGACATTGAGAAGGGGAGGGGGAGAAATAGTAGCAATCATTAGGTCTATAACCGCTAGGACAAATGCTTCCCTGAGGAGTCAGCAGCAGCGTTGTCGACACGCCTGGCATGGTGGAACGTGCTCGTGAGCCATTTCCAGGGAAAAGGTTTCAGACGGTGCCAGGGTGCGCTTACAAAGGCGGGTACAAGCTGAGGGTATCAGCCTGTCGTAAACGTCTGCGTCTTCATGTCATAATTAATGGCCCGTGGGGCCAGCGTGTCTGAGGGACGCGTGTGCGTTGGGGTGGTGCTCACCCGCCAGCGGGTGACGGTTCCGACGAGCGGTGGCTGAGCCGTGGGCTGGGGAGAGCCAACCCGCCGTCTCCAACTCGCTCTCCGTGGACAGACAGCAAGCCCCCGGCTCAGGTCAGGTCCCTCCAAAGGAGCCTGAAGGACTGAGCTGGACAAGCACCCGTAAAAGCTGGATTGATGCCACGGAGGGACTAAAGGTCAAGGAGGAGCTTTCTGCTTCCTTGAGGGATGGGAGATACCTTTGTCTCAATGGCAAGCCAGCTTTTTTTCCTCTTGGAGCTGAGCCTTCCACTTCCCCCTCTCCACACCCTCATTCTGCCATCCGGGGGTTGGCAGCAGGTACTCACTGTCCACACAATATGTATTCCCTCTACAGTGGGAATCCCTCACCTCATCTCTCCTTCCCAGGTGTCTGTGCACTGAAGAAACACCGGTGAAGGCGTGATCCAGCCCAGCTGCACATACAAATATGAAGTTCTTCTGGATAATCCCATTTTTCCTGCTGCAAGGTAGTGTCTTGGCTTTGGGAATAATGGTGTGGGGGAAATAGGTCACACACTGAGACTGTCAATGTCTGTCGGGACTCTGTGCACCTCCACGGTGCAGACGGATGTTTCAGCTGACACTTTAGGGTTAGACACCCAAACCCTTCCCCTCTGCTTCCACAGAGACACTGGGGACAGTTCCTAGTTCATCCAGCTGGAGCAGGACATCAGGGTGTCTGTCCCTAGGTGCAAAACAGAAGCCAGGAATTCGGCTCACCAAAGGGTCTGAGCCTCCTCCGGGAATGACCCAGGGGAGCAGCCTCCCACCTCCCAGAAGGGCAAGGGCAAGTCGAGCTGGGCTGCCCCGGATTCACCCAAAAGGAGATGCTTGAGCCACGTTTGCCAGGAAGCGTGGCTTAAGGAAAGCTCAGCTACGAGCCCCGCAGCCCTGGCAGAGAGAAGCTGGACTGGAGGCAGTTTGCCTCGTGAATGCCTTTTGCCCTACCACCATTTCCCAGTTCCAGAACTGGGTGTCATTCCCAGCTGCCCTATAGACTGCATGTCCAGTGCTCAGGGGATGGCCGCACTCACGTACTGGTTTCTTTGCAGACGCTGAAGCTTTTCTGATGAAAAATGCTAAAGTCAAGCTGTGTTTACAAGCCAGCCCAATGAATGGGAATTTATTGCTGGAGGACTGTAATCCAGAGTCAGATTTCCAGGACTGGTCTTGGCAAGGCGATGCTTTGATGAATCACGGCACGCAGAGCTGCCTCTCTGCGGTGGGGGCCGACGAAGTGCAGACAAGTCTCTGCGGCAGCGCTGGCTACACAAGCTGGGTCTGCTCGAGCTCACTGCTCTCCCCTCTGGGCAGCAGCCAGGGCTACCTGGTGGCAAGCAGGAGAGGAGTCGCTCTCGGGAACGCGAGAGGTCTCAAGGCCCAGTGGCAAGATGTCGCGGGCAGGAGCGTGTGCGAGGAGAAGGCAGGTGAGTGCCGCAGGGCTGGGGGCCAGCACACGCTGCTGGGGAGGGTGGAAAGGCACGGTCAGCGTCCTGCCGGCTTTCCAACCCTGGGCACCCCACCGTAACGGGATCGGCAGTGGGAGCCAGACATGCTCTCCGCTTCTTGGCGCACGAGATAAGCCTCACGGCTGCGTTTGGAGAGACAGGCTGGGCAACCTGGGTGCCAAGAGGAAGGATGTTTCTCTCCGGAAGTATTCCAGTGAGCGACCATCGTGTCTTTCTGCTCTTTCCCCCCGCAGCCAAGGCGCAGCAGGAGTGGTACTTCCCCGCGGCCCTCGCCAGCACACGCGTGTATGACCACACGGCAGGCAACGCCACCCTCGCGCTGGGCATGGATCGGGATCAGCTGGAGGAGCTGCTCTGGTTCTTCCGCAGAGAAGACCGTAAGTCCCACTGAGGTCCCTGGGTTGAGAGTTGACATGGAGATAGAGTCCTTGGCTGCTAACTCCCGCCTAACGGAGATGCCTGCGGGAAGTATTCTATGATTCTAAGTACCGGAGGAGGGGCTTTACCCTGGGTATGTAAACCCAGGGGTTCTGGAGGGTCTCACCTCCAGAAGAAGCAGGGTGAAGCACGAGGCTTTGCTGAGACAGTGTCTCCTCCCAGAGCGGGGTTCAGCCTCCTTCCAGGTGTAGTCTGCCGAGGGAGCAAAGGTCTGGGATGACCAGTCATTTTGGCAGGGTGGAGGAAGCAGATCGATACGAGTAGGTCAGCGCCCTGAGGATTGGCTTCAAAGCCCCAAAAATCAAGGACGGAACATCTGCTGCCATCTGTGCTGCGCAACCCGAGGGCAAAACCTACCTTCCTGAGCGGGAAGCTGCAGAACGGAGGGACCCTTCTAGCCGTGCTCCGGGTGGGATGCTGCAGCCCTCAGCCTTCCTCCCACCCTCGGGCGTAGCCACTCTCAGCCCTCGGACAAGGCTGAAAAGCCGCGCGTGGCCGATGTGCTCAGCGCGAGAGATACGGAGGCCGAGGCAGGGGGCTGCGGGCAGCAGGAAGCCATGTAGGTCTCCTGCCCCGGGAGGGAGCGTTGCCTGAGCTTATCCCCAAAAGTGTGGCCTGGGTGCTCTGCTCTGGGTGCTGAGCCGGACGCCGGCACCCCTGCCCTCATCCCGCAGCCAAGCCACGGCACTCTCAGCCTGGGGATCCCCAGAAACCGCCCAGCTCTGCCGGCCGCGCTGCTCTGTGCACACTAACACGGCCTCTCCACGCTTTCCCCCAGCCTCCACATGGAATTACTCCATCCTTGCCCTTTCCTTCGTGGCCATGATTTTGGGTCTTCTCCTCCTGGCCATTAACATTACGCGAAACAGGTGAGTCAGGTAAACTTGGGGGTCTTTTGGGGATGGGGGTGGTGCGCTGAGACCCCCTCCCCCAGCAGCCAGACACGGCTTTGGCAAGGCAGCGTGCTGAGACGGGGCAGGAAGAAGCCCTGAGTGATGGGGAGAGGAGCAAAGCCACATTCCCTTTGAGCCGTGCTTCACAGTAAAACCTTCCCTGGCTCCCTGCTCTCCCGTGTTGCTCGGCACGAGCCACTTGGCTTCTCCAGGCCCTGGATCTCCACTGGTGAAGGGTAACGGCTCAGCCCAGCCCAGAGGGCTGCTGGGTGGGAGGTGACACCCAACGTGCGCAGGGTGAGGGGCTCTGCCATAGGTAGAGGGACATGCAGGGATTCTAGAGCAGGATTGCCCAGCCTTTCCCTGTCGGTGTTCCCGTACTCCGTGACAACCCTGCAGCTGAGGAGCAACTCGCCGCCTTCTGCAGCAAGAAAACTCCCCCAAACCGGAGGCAGAACTGCAGGTGGGACCCCCTGCTTCACTCCGCGTTTCCTCTTTATCCCTTCCCTGCAGGAAACGGAAGATCCACATGTATATGGAAGCAATGCAAAGCTCCCAGGAGGCTGAGGTGGAAGCCAAGCAAGCCCTGATGCCTGTGCAGGAATACAGCCCTGACGAGCCCCAGAAGCAGGAGCTGGGGGCCCAGGAGCAGAGGTCAGGAGACGTGGTGGTCCAGTGGAAGGACGGGACCGTCACATCTCTGTACACGGAGAAGTTCGAGGATGCTCTGTGACAGCAGATGAATCAAACCATTTAGGCCCTAAGGGATGTGTCAGGATGTCTCAATTCATCGCGACGGAAGTTTAAGAACAGCTTAGCCTGGGGAAACGGAAGAGAGGGGAACAAAAGAAAGCTGCAGAGCGGCACCAGCAGACGCGGCTCTGGACTGGGGGCAAACCCCTGCCACCCCCATTCCAGCTCCCGGCCGGCCTTTACCCACTGCTCCCGGCTGCCTCCAGCCTTCTCCCTCCGCTGCTACACTGGGGCGGGAAGCTTTTCCTGCACTCAGCCAGGGAATGTGCCCGCAAATCCCATCAGGAAAACAGCCACACCGAGGCAGAGGTGCTTTTGTTCTTTTCGGAATTCCTCTTTATTAAAATATTTTCCAAAGTGGTTGATCGAGCCCCATATTGAGTCTCTATCAGTGAGGTCGTATATATCTGTGTGTGTACCTGTACCAATATACACGTGGGTGTTTTACTCCGCAGAGTAACTGCTACTCCAGGGAGAAGCAGAGCGTTTAACCCGGTACAAATGAATCCAAACGCACAGCCCTGGGCTTGGGCACAGGCAGACCCAGGTCTGCTTTGGGATTCACCCCTCGCCCTTCCCCAGGCACACGTGGAAGCCATGGGATCATTTAGGACGTCGTTGGCAAGACATGAGTGGCTCAGACAAAGGCTTTGGGGACCTGTCCTTGTCAGGGACGCACCTCTCCTTGCCGAGCCTTCGGAAAGAAACACAAAGTGTAAAAAATCGGTTAAGAAATCAGCTATTTTGGTAGGACCTGGGGGTGTGTGGGAATCCGTTTGGGGACACCTGAGGCCTTTAGTCGACTGAAACAGTACCTGCACCTTCCTCGTTCAGATTAAACGAAAATAAGAATTCCTCCCACTTATTGCTTGTCAGGGGACCCGTGAGAGGAAGGAGACGGCTGCCCCCCATGATTAATGATTAACTCCCCCTTTTCCAGGCTGGCTGGGGGGCCCTGGGGTCAGCCCTCGCCCTCCCGGCAGTGCCCACGGCTCCAGCTGCTTCGGAAACCACCCAGATCCGCATGGAAAGGCGGCAGCAGGACAGGGTGCAAACACTGCAGCACCACCCGGCCAGGGCGGACGAGAG